CAACATCTTCATCATCTCAACATCTTCATCATCTCAACATCTTCATCATCTCAACATCTTCATCATCTCAACATCTTCATCATCTCAACTACATCGCCAACTCACTACACGTTCAGTCAAGAGTACATCTTCAAGGTGAATGACTTTTGCATTGCTCTTCGCGGATCCGCTGAAGACTTGTCTACGCTAACCAGTGCATGTGGCTCGGCCTGCCCTCGACCCGGTCCGTCAGGCAGGATCGGACCGGCGAGCGCCACACTCATGATCTCATGCTATCGAACTCCCCCACATCGACGAATGCTAGACTCCAGTATCGCATCTGCTGACAGAATCTAGTTCATCTGCTTGACCAGGTCGTTGATGAAGTGCTCGCGGTTGCCCAGGTCACCACCCTCGATGAAGTGCTTGAACTTGCGGGGACGGAACCCACCAGTAGGCGAGGACAGCTTGAAGGGCCACAGGAAGTTGGAGGCCTGCTTGAAGTTGGGGCCGACGGTGTAGATCTCGTGGATGAGGTCCTCGACGCAGACGATGCCGTACTGGCCGAGGCTCTGCTCGATCAGCTCGTTGTCGGTGATGGGCAGGCGCTGCTTGTTGACCTTGCCGTAACCGCGCTTGTACACGAGCTCACGGACAGTCTTCAGGTTGGGGTAGCCGTAGGCGACAAAGGGCTCGACAATCTTCAGCATCTCGGTGGTGGCCTTGGTCAGGCGGATGAAGACACCGTTGTTGATCTGGAGGAGACGGAGGAGCTGGAGCGTCTTGCGCTTCTTGGGGTCGATCTTGTTGATACCCTTGATGCGGACGACAAAGGCGAGCTTCGACTCGGCGGGGACGAAGAGAGAGCCATCCTTCTTCGCCTGGCGCTTGGCGTCGATGATGTCGCGCTCGGCCTTGACGTACTCCTGGTGGTACTTCTCGGCGCGCTTGAAGATGGTCTCGCGCTTCTGCTTGTTGGCCTAAGATGTCTTAGCCAACTGTGATGCTCCTATCTGCTTGCGCAGGTCTGGGGAGTGTTCATCGTACCTCGCGCTTCTTCTGGAGGTCGGCAGCCTTGCTGTCGGTCGCCTTCTGAGAAGCCTTCTGCTTCTTCAGAATCGTCTCGGGGACGGCGATGTCGTTCTGGGTGGGGACGCTGCGCTGGTTAGGTTCTTCTGCATTCAGGGCTGGGTTTGGGTTTCAACGTACGATGAGCGGGCCATTGTGCTGGTGGTTAGTCGGCTTGTCGTTGTCGAGGAAGCTGGAAACGAAAAAGAAGACGTCCGAGGTCGAGAGGGTGAAAATCGCTGGTGCGGGCATGGCGCTACGCCCAAAGCGGCTCAACAAGCGAGACGCGAGCGATGGAGCCAGCCCCACCAATCGAGACCCGCCGCTGCACAGGGCGAGCTTTTTCGGGCGCGACGACGTGCAGCTCGACAACTTGCGACGGCGAAAGTGTTTCGCCATCCAATTCTCGCAGAACACGCTCTATCGCAGCAATGGCAAGAGGCGGTGGTCGTGTAAGTGTTCGCAGTCCACAGGTGCCGTTGCGCCGTGGCTAATTCCTGTGCAGGGCCGCGGTCGCGGTGGTAAGAGAGGTGGAGGACGCGGCGGCGGAGGCGCAAGAGACACCAGGTCCGAGCCGTGGTCAGACATCACGCGCAGCAACGAGCTGTTCGAGAGCTACTACCGTAGGGGCGGCTTCATGGACGAGGCCGAGTTCGAGGTCATGTGGAACGCGCTCAAGCAGGACCTGCCCAACAGCTTCCGCTTCACCGGCACCAAGTCCGACGCCCTCGCTGTGCGCGAGATCTTCAAGCAGCGCTACATACCCGCCATCTCTGCGCAGACGTTTGAGGGCCAGCCTGTGCCCCCTCCCGAGCCCGTCAACGCCTTCCCCGACGAGCTGGTCTGGCACATGAAGACACACAAAAAGGTCATCCGCCGCCATGCCGCCTTCGCCAACTTCCAGAAGTTCCTCGTCGCAGAGGCTGCCTCGGGCAACATCAGCAGACAGGAGGTCGTCAGCATGATCCCTCCCCACTTCCTCGACGTCAAGCCTGGCATGGTCGTCCTCGACATGTGCGCTGCGCCCGGCAGCAAGTCTGCCCAGTTGGCTGAGATGATCCACGGCGACGAGGAGGAGCGCGTCAGGAGGGCCGCGAACGGCGAGCATGTTGGCAGCGGCGCTGACGGCGACTACAGCGACGACGGTCGATCCACCGGCCTGCTCATCGCAAACGACACCGACTACAAGCGCGCCGGCATGCTTGTCCACCAGGTCAAGCGCCTCAACTTCCCCAACCTGATCGTCACCCAGCACGACGCGTCCATCTTCCCCTCGATTGAGCTTCCCAGCGACGCCGGCCAGAAGAAGCAGTACCTCAAGTACGACAGGATCCTGGCTGATGTGCCATGCTCTGGCGATGGCACAGCCCGCAAGAACCCCAATGTCTGGCAAAAGTGGACCCCCAAGGACGGTCTTGGTCTGCACAACCTGCAGTTGCGCATTCTCTTCCGTGGCCTGCAGATGCTGAAGAAGGGCGGACGCATGGTCTACTCTACCTGCAGCATGAACCCCGTCGAGAATGAGGCCGTCATCGCCGCTGCCATCGAGGCGTGCGGAGGCATCTCCAAGGTCCAGCTGGTCGACATGCCCGACCACCTGCCCAAGCTCAAGCGCCGTCCTGGTCTGAACGCCTGGAAGGTGCTCGACACCTCCTCTGTGCCTGGGAGCAATGACAAGACCGCCCACATGTTCACCAGCTGGGAGGCTTTCGAGAAGGCCAAGGCCAAGTATGCTGTCGAGGAGCCCGAGCGCACCTTCTCGCAGAAGATCTCCAAGGGCTGCTTCCCTCCCATCACGGCGAACCCCGAGGAGCGCATCCCGCTTGAGCGATGCATGCGCGTGTACCCCCATCTTCAGGACACCGGTGGCTTCTTCATTGCAGTCATCGAGAAGCTCGACGACATCAAGATCGCGCAGATTCAGAACCCCGAGAATGCCGCCAAGTCCAAAAAGCAGGAGCAGAAGACTACCGACAACACCTCAATCCCCACCCCCGAGGAGAATATTATCGAGGCAGATGCCACTAAGGAAACCGAGAGTCTGAAGCGCAAGGCCGATGACACCGAAGAATCCGCCCCTAAGAAGACCAAGACAGAAGAGAACGGCACAGCAGAGCCCACGACAGCACCCGCCTCCGAGGCACCAACACCAGCCCCCACCCAAGTCACCAAGCTCAAGCCCGAGAAGCAAGACCAGAACAAGGAGTACTTCGAGTACCTTTCTCCCACCGACGAGACCATCTCCCGGATCCACGACTTCTTCGGCATCAGCGACCGCTTCCCCCGCGACCGCTACATGGTCAAGAACAAAGAAGGCCTCTCCCTCAACAAAATCTACTACACCTCTGGCTTCGCCAAGACAATAATAAACGCCAACAAAGACCGCGGCATGAAATTCATACACTGCGGTGTCGTCATGTTCGTCGCGCACAAGATCAAGGACGCACAGTACATGCACGCCCCCTGGCGGCTGCAGTCCGAGGGCATCTCGATCCTGGAGCCGTGGGCCAGCAAGCGCATTGTGAAGTGCACGAGCAAGGCGACGCTCAAGCAGCTCGTCACCGAGATGTTCCCCAAGCTACCCCGGGAGGGCGAGCACGGGCTGGGCGAGGTGGGCGATCAGCTGCAGGGTATGGACATCGGGTGCTGTTTCGTTCGTGTCGAGAAGGACGAGGCGCAGGACATCCCCTTCCGCATGGTGCTGCCGCTGTGGAGACACCCGGGATCGGCGAACATGATGGTCGACAAGGATGATCGCAAGGCCATGCTCTTAAGGCTATGGGGCGAGAAGGATACCGAGATCATCAATCACGTTGCCGACAAGGCGAAGAGGGAGGCCGAGGAGGAGCAAGCCGAGGAGGACGCCAAGGCCAGCAAGATCGAGGGCGACAACGCCGAGGCCATGGACGTTGACGAGAATGGCGGTGTTGCCGTTGCCGTCGACGCCGACGCCGACGCCGACGCTTAGACGCGCTTGACGAGTACTGCTCGCGGGCCGTCGCGGGCCCAGCTGTGCCGTATTCCACGCATCCCGCATCGAGACACCGCTCACCAACGGGACGATGCTGACAAACGGGTCGCAAGCATCCACGATCCCCGCGGTCGTCAAGCTCTACAGCAGAGGCTTTGAGTCGTGTATTCGACCTTATATATCATTACCGTATTCCCGCTCCAGAACACAGACCACCATTGCCTTTTGCTTCACCGTGCCCCCGTGAGTCCCGCGCCGTCACCTACAAACACCATTTCTTTGTCCGTCGTTCCACCCGCAGCCCAAGACGCGAGAGGTGCAGCGTGCGAGGCGGTCATCAACGAGCCGGCGAGCCGACGAGCCGACGAGCCGACGAGATGGAAGGGAATGCGAGGGATGAGATGGATGAGATGGATGAGATGGATGAGATGGATGAGATGGATGAGATGGATGAGATGGAACCGAGATGAATTCTACACTCAACGCCATAAATGCCCTGCTGAAACCAAACGCCCTTTCCTGCCATGCTAGTTACCGTGTCGTGCTATGCCATACTATGCCCAACCATACCGTACCATACCATGCCATGCCGTGCTATTTATGCCATACCATACTTATACCATTAAACCATCCCCAAAACTAAATCCCCCCCACCTTTACAAACACACACACACACACTCACACGACGAAGAACGCCCAGCCGCAGGTCACGCAAACGGACCGCCTCAGTCCAGCGCGCCAGCGACAAGCGCGAGCGGTGCCGACGCGTCCGTGTCTACATCTTCCCCATGCGCTTCCACATGCGCATGCGCATGCGCATCTGTATCCGCATCTGTGTCCGCATCCGCGTGCGCATCACCCAGCACCAGCGCGCCCCCATGCTGCAACACCGCAGGCGACGTGGAGGAATTCCCCAGACCGACGCTGTACAGGCTGTGCATCTGGTGCGGCAGGAGCCACAGATGGCCATGCTGTAGGCCCTGAAGGGCACCGGCGTTGGCCCAATCCGGAGCGAGGGCGACGGGGAGCGGCGCAGCCGTGTCTTCGGTGTGGATGACGTAGTTGTCCTGCTCGGGGAGCACGGCGTCGGCGTCGGCGTCGTCGTAGGGATGCGCCGTGCCCCCTGCCGAGATGATGGTCACGTTGCCCGTCTCCTCGAGGACGCCGAACTCGGTCGTGACCGTGATGCTGTCCGGGCTGCTGAGCGGCAGGTCCGCGAAAGCACTCGTCGTGTACCCCGCAGACGGGTCGGGGGGCGCGTCCGACTCGTACAGCGCCGAGAAGAACTCGTTCATCGCGCCTGCCAGCTCGTCGGCTTGCCCGCGCTCGAGGCGGTCGCGCTCGAGCTTGGCTTTTGCGCGCTGCTCGGCGTCTTTCTTGGCTTTGAGCTCGGCGTCCAGACGGCATTTCTGTCGGACGTGCGGTTTGCGAGTGCAGGTCGGGCAGTGGAAGTTGACAGTGCAGAAGGTGCATGTGCAGGACGGGTTGAGAGTCGAGCATGCCTGTGGGATGTTAGAAGGGTCTACTTTCTGGGAAAATAAAGGACGTCTTACGTCGCAGACAAGGACCGCGCACTCCGAGCATTCTTTCAGGAGTGCTGGACATTGCGGTCTGTTGTCGCCGACTGGGCGCGGGTACTGGCAGAAGTAGGCGCCGCAGCCTTCCCACTGCACGGGGTGGTTTCGTGAGTGGCATGGTAGTGGAAGAGGATTCGATATCGACGTTGGTGGAGCGCCGCGCGGTGGATTGGACCACGACACTGAGTTGCGGCTGCGGACGCCAGAGGCGCTGAGCGAGCGCGGTCGAGATGAGCTGACGGGAACGAACGACAGCGAACTTGTTAATATAAAGGGATCAGGGGTTGTGAGCGGGTTGAATGTGCCCATCTCGGTGGCTCCTACAGGCGCCATGAGGACCTGTGACTGCGACATGGGCGTGCCCTCGGAAGACTCCGACTCGTTATCAGCAGTCGATACCGCGTCTAGTTGTGACGAAGCAGTCGGCGTGCGCTCCAGATCCTCACCAGTCCTGTGTGGATTGAAGTCGGGGATCACGAGTCGCTGCGGCGGTTCTGTATGTGCCCTGACGTGGTCGCGCTCTGTGTGCAAGTCCCTATATCCACACTTGCGGACCTTCAGCGCGCCAAAGTCATGCTCCTTGCAGATGGGATTCTTGCAGGCTCGACAAGACACCTTCCACCTGAAGCTGCGGTAGCAATCAGTGCACAGCCCTCGGGGACATGTCTGCTGCTGCAGCTCTAGGCTCTCTTGCTTCAAGTAGTTTAGGATGTCGACGTCTTCGCCCAGGACGTACTCGTACAGGCCGTTGTTCTTGAGCTCGCGAATGTAATCGACGGGCCGGAGCTGATTCGAGAAGTCGGGGTCTTCGTACTGCTTGCAGCGCGGTAGAGGAGCGGCACGGATCTTATCAGCGCCTCTCCCGCCGAGCCCAGTGCCCAGCACGGCGATGCCACCGCCTCCAGAGAAGATGGGCTCCAGACAGCACCAGTGCATGTTCAGCTTGGGTGGGTCTCGGTGCGCGGGCGGCCCAGGAAGGCCGTTGTTGAGCGTGTCTTCAGAGTCGGAGGAGTCGTCGTCGTGAGCGCTCTCGCTCATGAGGTTCGGTGATCGCGTCGCGCCAGGTGCCCACCAGAAGCGATTCTTCTCAGCCTTCGCTTCCTGCTTCCTGTCCTGCAGCGAGGCAGTCGAGCCAGACGCGTGGCCAAGGGCGCCCATGCTCGTCCCAAACGCCAAGCTCGCAAAGTGCCGTGTCCTGGCGCGCTTTCGTGGAATCGGGCGGTTGAAGGCGCAGCTTGCGCAGAGCGTCTTGCGGCAGCCCATGCAGTGCATGCGAACGCTGCACGACTCGCAGCGCTCCAGGATGACGTCATCGCACTGCGAGCACTTGACGTTTTCCACAAAGGTCGTGTGGCTCTTCCTGGCGTGCGCCGGCACGTGCTTGCCCTCTCCGGCAAAGGGACCGTTCTCTGTCCCCAGGGGCTCGCCGTCTTGGCCCTCCTCGGCGATCTCCCACAGCCTCCCATCGTGCTCGCCCAGCCTCTTCGTGCCCTCGAGCGGCCCTATGCGGTTGCTCGAGCGCCAGAGGCGGTCAAAGGGCACCCAGACCTCCATGTTCTGCGGGGCGGCGCGTCCGGCGTGGTAGTCTTTCCTGCGATAGCACCGCCCGCCCGGCGACGGACACCAGGCCGTGTCTGTCCATATGCGCAGCTGGTGGCAGATGTCAATCAGCTGGTGCGTGGGGTCCGAGTCCGAGTCGCGGCGCACGAGCGAGGCCGGGAGATAGGGCCGCCGGCGGTGGTGGCGGCAGCGGTACGTGTAGAGGCTGGTGAGGGCGAGCTGGGTGCGCAGCCACGGGGCGTCGCGCAGCGTGTAGGGCTCCAGGAACGGCACAATGTGGTACTTGATGGAGACGTTCTTGCAGCCGCGGACAGAGAGGTGGCGCAGGGTGTGCAGGTGCGGCGCGAGCACGCTGGCCACCAGGGCGACGCCGTTGACGGCCGTGTTGCAGAGGTCGAGGTTGGTGATGCGGGTGCCGTGGGGCGCGATGATCTGGCGCAGCAGGGCGTCGAAGGCGTACTGCTTCGACTGGCGCTCGCGGGCGTCGGGCGTCTCGTTGCCCGGCGAGCCGACGGCGACGGCGGGCTGGGGCAGCCGGAACGAGAGCGTCTTCCAGGCCAGCGGGTAGCGCTCTAGGAAAAGGCGCAGGTGGCGCGAGGTGTGGTACAGCTCGACGACGGCGGCCGTGGGCAGCTGCGCGAGGAGCGACTCGAGGACGGGCGGGTAGGCGGTGACGACGGCCTCGAACCGGCTGAGGGTGCGCACGCTCTCCTTGCCCTTGACGCCGGCGGGGGCAGCAGGCGCGGGCTCGCCGTCCCAGAACAGGTCCGTCGCAATGCGCTGTCGCTGGAGGGCCATGCTGCCGGTGGGCGAGCGGGCGGGCGGCGGTGCCGAGGTGCTCACGAGTCGCTGCTCAGCAGGCGAGAGTGTACCAGGGCATGCACGCTGCACATGCAGAGGCCGAGGGGGAAACGCGCTGGTGCAGAGGGAGCCAGGCGCGGTCGTGTGCCGTCAGCGGGCGAAGTCGTGCGCCGTCAGCGGCTGTGGTCGTGTGCCGGCCCTCCAACACGCCCGCAGCATCCTGTGCACCAGCATCCAGACTACCGCCAATGAGACGCCGGACTGCGCATCCAGTGCGAGCAGCCTTGCCGTTTGCGTGCACTGGCAGTCTGACGAGTCACGACGTATCTCGGGCGGATAGATTGCCGGGCATGGCCTGTTGCATACAGCCATGCCTCACCAAAAGTCCATGTTCTGCAATCGATGAGTTAATTGCATCAAGACGCGACTAGAACAGTCCCTGCACCTTGCGCCCTGCTAAACTGAACGACAAGTCGCAGAGAACCCACCAAGACCACTTCCCTTGCTAAAGTAAACCACTGGCTGCATCCTCGTTCCCTTCACGTTGCTTCGTCTTCCTCAAAACACCCAGTTCCCCTCCGTATCCCTGTCCTCCAACCCATCAAACAGCACCACATCCCAATCCAAATCATCCCCAAAATCACCCCCCAAACCATCCCCCAAACCATGCCCCAGACCATCCCCCAAACCATGCCCCAGACCATCCCCCAAACCATGCCCCAGACCATCCCCCAAACCATCCCCAAAATCACCCCCCAAACCATCCCCCGAGCCATCCCCCAAGCCATCCCCCCGCCCGCCCGCCGGCCAGAGCTCGTTCTTCACAAACGAGAAGACCGGCACGTGGCTCCCTGTGACATGCATCGACCTGCCCGTCTCGGAATCGAGACCGAACCGCGGCCGTCGCGGCAACTCTCTGTACGCGAGGACCACGGTGCCGAAGAACGGAATCGTGAGTCTGACCGGACCCGCCGCCTGGCGCCCAGGGTCGAGCGCCGCGAGCATCTTCTTCAGCACCGCGGCGGAGCGGGCCGCGATCTTCTCGCGCGTCGACGCGCGCGCCAGCTTGTCCAGCTCGCCTACCAGGCGGCACAGCATGGCGAAGTCGGCGCCCTTTGCCTTCTGCACCGCCGCCTTGTCGTGCAGCGCGAGCTCGATGACAATGTCGAGCGTCAGCGTCACCGCCGCCATGAAGACGCTTATCTCGCTGAGCCGGCAGCACGCCTGTGTGATGCCGGCGTTGCGCAGCGCGAACCACCGCATCACCACGTCGCGACTCGCCTGCAGCGCCGTCACTTTTGAAAACTCGTACCGCGGCTCCACCGGCGCCCGCAGCAGGTACGGCAAGTGCACGAAGATCTTCAGCTCAAAGTGCCACATCTGCACCATCAGTCTCTCGAGCGCGGCGAAGGACTCGGCACTTCGTGCTGTGCATGGCATGTTGGGTACCTCCCAGAACTCGCGCGGCATCTCGCGCATGTTGGTCTCGAGTCTTTCGTCGAGGGACAGGGCTTTGGCGTACGATTGCGGCGTGATGGAGCGGTCGAGGTCGGCTATTTCTCTGCTCAGCGCGTTGATGCGCGCGCGGTGGATCACTTGAGGTTCGTCGTTTTCCGACACTGGCACGTCGTCGGCGCCAAAGGGAAGCCGGAGATGCAGCCCCAGATACCGGTCTAGGTCGACCATGTGCCGCCACAGGCTTTTTGCGTTGCTGACGGCTGGTACTGGCGGATCCAGATCGCGTTGCATCACGATGCGGTGGAAGCCCATGAGGTGTGCCAGGTTCATTGCTCGCCGGATCACAAGCCATGCTTGACGAAGGTTGGCGCTGTTCATGTGCTGGATAGCGAGCAGCATCAGGCACTCCAGGCCGTACAGCGTCAGCATGTGCTCGTCCGCGTTTGTCACCAGCGAGTTGACCGTGGTAACATAGTTGGACACCGTATCGTCCAGGGACCAGATATTCTGCAGACGAGTGCCGTCGAACTCGGGTGGTAACGAGTTGATACATATCGCTAGGTGGAGGAGTGTTCGAGCTACGATGATGGAAGGTTGCTGAGCCACAGCAGCCATGTCCAAGGCGTACGACTGTTCATCTCTGTTAACATAGATGTCTTTTGAAGCACTGTATATGCCCTCAAGAATCATCCATCCATTCGACGACCCGAAGATGATATCGGCATCGTGCTGCGAGGGTAACAGGCCGGTTAGGCACCTGTGTGCCGCATCGCTGTCTGAAGGGTGGGTACTCTCCCGCTGGCTTGGCAGAGTACGGATAGTCGGTGCAGACCTCCAAGTCTGAGCACCAGGCTGTGCATCTGTGAGCTTTCCAGTCATCGAGCACGGGACAGGAAGACTTACAATTCCGTCGCCGATCGAGGAGACGCTCTGCGCATCGCTAGAGAACGTGGGTAGAGATAGCTTGGACTGCGTTTCGGACGATTCTACCAACGCAGGGCTGCGCCGAGTCTCTGAAGGTTCGACTGTCGAGTTCTTGCGACACACGAATCGCTCAAACAGTTGTTCGAGCTTCCCTAGCCGTTCTCCAATGTGCAATTGGCACGGATTTTCCTGAGCGACCCGCTCCGTTGCGGTCGGCGTGCTCATGCTGGAGTACATATTGATGTCCGTCTGGCTTATATTGATGTCTGTCTGGCTTGAGTTGAAGTGAACCTTCCTTTTCTTGCCTTGAACCCGAGTCAGCGTTTTGCGAACTCGAAGATACCCTCATCCTGATCGTACTCTTACATTCCCAGCATGCTCGTTTCAGACCTTTGAGCGGCCTCTTATTCCCCACGTACGTTGACGGGCACTTTGGCTCCATCATGAGTTGATGTCCGTTGATTTGGATCGAATCCCTTCAAAGTGCGTTGTCACGCTTGCAGATCGATGCATATTGGGTGTGAGGAGACATGCCACTTTCATAGTGGGGTGTGTGTCGTGTGTATGGCAAATGCTGAGGTGTGGAGGTGTGGAGGTGGCCCGCCAGGATTCGCCCGAGGCCTCGTCCGTACTTCCACCACACTCGGCGCGTTCTACCAGAACGGCTGTCGCAAGACCCTGCATACGAGCAATTTAGCGCGACAGCATCTAGAGCTGTCGCGATGATAACAGCCCTTGTCTCACTAAAGCACGCTCTGCTCACCAGATGCTTACAACGGATCGTTTCGCAACAATTCTTGCAGCTGTTCTTCATGATGGCGTTTGGCATGGCGCAATCACAACCCCGGCCAAGCCTGTGCCACGCGGTAGGGCGTTGCTTACGCCTGTTATCTCCGCTCGTACATTCGCACGAAGGGTACTTATCAAGCCGACTGGACGCGGGCTCTCACCTCAACGAGCGCAAAGTTCTGGATTACCAAGACAACATTCAAACTTGTTCTGTCAGGCGTGACAGGTTGCACTGGAAAGCAGATCCTAGATCAGCCGCTCCAAAATCCAACAATTGCATCCGTGATGGTGTTGTCTCGGCGCGACGTGGTCGCGTTGCAAGATGTGAATGCATGCATATGAAAATACTCTCGAGGTTTGATAGCAATGCAGCGGTGATGCTGAAAGGTGCATGACAACGGCTGCTGAGGATACGGTCTTGGAGCTCGAGTGTCCGAGAGCCTACGTAGACGCTATGGCGCCGAGTCTCGCCAGTAGTAGGAAACTATTCAGACACCTGCATCTGAGCGGCACAATGGTCGAGTGTGACCAGAATAAGTCGCCATGGATGAAAGCGGACGTGAGCAAGACGAAGGCATGTGTCACTGAATCCACGCTCAAGCTCGATCGCAACAGCACGTGCTCTGATTGGTAACTAAAGTGCAGACTGTCGCTTGCGCTGACCATCACAAGGCCAGGGTGAAATGCAAATGCAGCTTCTGGGGAATAGTCATCGCACGCCCAGGCAAGGTTGTGCAGGTGAGGATTACATTGGGTAAGCACCCATGTAGTTCGCGGGTTCTTCGGGCTCTTTCATTATTAGATCGGACGAACTGGCTGTCGCACTGATCGACGCGGTGATGCATGGCAGTGACGGGCTTCTGCTTCCTGCTGCGCTATTGCAGCGAGGTCAAAAGCTCGCAGAGGCTCTCCGCTTGTTTAGAGTGAGATGATACGCTGAACAGATGGTGGGATATTCGGAGGGTTCTGTCGAAACTCGTGACTCTTCGTTATGCCCGCGTCATCCGCGCTCGAATCCTGATATCTGCTCGAAACGCCGTGACAATGCAAGTATCTCGTGTATATCTCATGCGTACATATCGTCGTAGTCTTCTTCGTCCTCCACAGGTGGCGGAGGTGGCTGCTTCTTCTTGAGCAACTCTTTGCGGTCGAGCGGACAAGTCGAGTTTAGCTTGAGCCAGGGTCGTATGCAGTCCAGGTCGAAGAAGTGGTCCTTATGGCATGGCAGCTGCACTACGAGCGGGTAGTTGTCTGTTCCGTGCCCCGAGTCAGCCAAGCCGTCAACTCTCAAGCCACAATGGGCACTCACCTTCCAGGAATGGATTGACACAAATGGGACATGTGTCTGTAGGCTTAAGCGACTTGTTTGGCACCCTCTCCAGCTCGTCCAAGAAGCTATCCGGACAGCCCTTGAGCTCTGCTGGCGGGTCGTCGGCATTCTGCCGCAACACCTCGATCATGTTCGCCAGCAAGTCGTTCTCGCCGCCGCTGTCGTCCGCGGGTCGTCCGCGCATCATCTCAAAGGCATTTGCAAGCAGGCGGAATGCCGCCGCCATGTTTTCCGGTTGCGGCAGGGCATTTGCATTGGTGTGCGCCTGCGGATCCGAGGTATCGACGAGCTCGAGTTGCGAGAAGAAGGTCGACAGGTCAGGCCGGCGGTGCGGTGGTTGCGCTGTCTCCTCCTTCGCAGAGATGTTGTGTTCGACTGCTGCAAGTCAATTTTTTGCAGCTGTGTCTCCGTTCTGTGCGTTATACCTTCGTAACCGGACATCTTTGCAGTGTGGTGAATGTTGCAATGCTCCAGAAATCGCCGCCGAAAGTCGATGAAGCTCCCAAAGGAACGCGTCGTCACTGGCTGCCTGTCGAAAGGCGCGACTCTGTTAGCGCGGGGTTTCGGGGCATCTCAGCCACACATCCGCCACATTTCAATCGCCACACCTCCAACACAAGCTTCCAACCAAATATTTGGCGCGGCCAGCGCGACGCTTGAGACAAATAAGCTCAGGTGCACGCAAGGTACGGTGGTCATCAGATGATCATACAGGTTGTCTTGATCAAGATCATTATGCGCGAGCCATCTGACCAGTTGTCGCGGCTTATCAGCGTACGGAAAAAGATAGAGAGGCACCGTCGAGGATTCCCCTGCAGGAATAGGAGGAGAACCGACATTACAGACTCTGTTTCCCCACCTCCGCACTGAGTGCGTGGCATCCGGCTTCGAAACAGCGTTGCCGTGTCTGGAATTCTGGCCGGGCTCCGCCGATCGGCCAGATGTTCTGCACAGCCACTTGGGCAGACTCGTCATGCGTGCCGCAGACTTCCTGGAACAATGGACTCTCGACGCGCCTTGAAAGGGGGCAGTGAATGGGAGGCGAAGCCCCGCTGGTGAACAAAAAGCCACACGAGGCCGACATTGTGAGGCTACATCACCTCACACTCACATTCCACCCTGCAGATAAGCGCTCTGTTTGGATTTTAGCTTCACCTTTCACCGCCTCACACAAGCACTACTTGGTCATCAATCACAACAAACACATCAATGTCGCTTCTCATTATGCAATCCGCACCTACACCTACAATGGACAGATTGTCGCCAGGATGGATCAGCCGCTCGTTATCGCGGATAAAAAGGTCACCAGAATCACGACCAACAACATCCAGCAGTCAGGTCTCCCCACAACCATCTCGAAGATCGAGCAACAGCAACAGTTCGCAACGGTCAAGTAGATCTGGAAGCCGGTCGATCCGAGGTATGGTGAACAGGATACGCTCAGCATCGAATGCCAGCATACCAAAGGACCAAAATCAAGAGCCGGGCTTCAAAGAGATCGATGATTGGTTCACTGGGTTCCAGATGTACAACCAGCTCGTGACCACGTCTGAGAGATCCCATACATCCCCGGAGTTTGCCAAAGCCACGAAACAGTTGACGAAAAACTGCGGTGGCAACTTCATCCACGGACTCCCTGAAGCCATGTTTGACTTTTCCCTCCTCTGGTGCCCGGCAGAAGCATCAGCAGCCAGAGACGACAGCGAACCCTCTTGGAGCTGGACCTCGCACAACGGTCGCATAAATTTCCCCTTCGACCCCACCAGCTGCCCGGACACCTTCACTCTCCCCCGCAGCACAGGCGAAACCTTCCGCTCCGAGATCCAAAACTTCCATATCGGCCCCCAATCCACCCCCTACACCGTCCGCCGCGACAAGCACACCTCTCTCCGTATTCGCTACCCACCATACTTCCACGCGCCGCGCGGCTCAGATCACACCTCGGAATCCTCCACGCTCCGCTTCACCGCGCAAGCCATCCCCGCAGACAACTTCACAGCCTCACAGCTGCACTACGCCGCCGCCGAGATCCCCGTGTCGCAGCTCCGCGACCCCGAGGGGCGACACACAGGCGTGCTCATGAGCCATGAATCCGCCATCTCGGCGCCGCACTACCACGGCCCGTACGAGTTCGTGCTGCTGAGCCGGAACAAGCGTGTCGAGCCTGCTGAGGGCATGCGCAGGCCGGCGAAGACGATTATGCATCCGCCTGGTACGCCGATTTGGGATGGGGGGCGGTTTGTGTGGGATGAGGAGGTTGTGGATTTCGATGAGGAGGTTTTCGCGGCGGGGGAGTGGTGTATGCTCAATGTTATGCTGGTCCGGTGGGATGAGGAGAGGGGAGTGGCTGAGCGGGTTGCTGTGGGAAGGATACATGAGGATGCGTGGAATAAGCTGGAGCCGCAGAGAAAGGATATTGTCTTAAGATGACATGTATTAGGGCGATGGATTTTTGGTGTCTTCTTTGTATATCTGTTACTGGTCACACAGCATATCAACTCCGCGATTGTATTGGCCCGGCAAAACTCAATACCGCTTCATGTCTGATCCGCTGCCCGTCTATATACGACATGTCTAGCCCTTCCGTCACGTGTCACTCCTCAAGCCTTCCCAGTCGGCCTTCCGTTTTCCAGCTTCTCGACCGCCTCATCGATCTTCTTGAAACTCCAACTGCTCCAAAAGCTGGGATAGCAGAACGGCCTCAAATCAAACCGGTTATCCTCGGGCGAATAATCCTCCATATGCAGGCTCGGCGTGATGGTAGTCATCTTGTGCCGATTAATAGCCCAAAAGTGGTAGAACCGCTTCACCTTGTCCGCCACCACGCGCGGCTCATGGATGTCCTTCCACTCGTGCACTAGACGCTGGAACATGCCATACGGACCGAGTTTCTGCGACTTGCGCAGACGCCCGAACACGCTTAGTTCCGCGTACGACATACCCATGTCGACTTCGTCCGACTGCACGTAGTCCTCGGTCAGCGGCTCGAGCTCCGCGGTGGGCGTGGCGTCGAGAAATTCCCGCAGGATGGGAAGGGATAAGTGCGTCTCGGCCCAGGCGATGAAGCGCTTTAGATCTGTCTTGGAGATGCCGCCAATAGGGTTGATGTCGGCGGACGAGCAGTCGTATTTGGTGAAGTAGCCGCGCAGCGCTTCGTCGACATTTGCGGAGCCCAGCACGAGGAGCGAGCCGCCGTTTGGGCGCTGGCGCACTGTGGGGAGCAGTTGTGCGAAGACGTAGCTGAGCACCATGCGTGAGCGTGCTTGGATGTTTTGGAGGGCGAGGTTTTCGGCGTGGGTTCCGCCGTGGACTTTGAAGGCGGGCTCGTGGCCCGTGGCTTGTGTGAGCACGCTTTTGAAGGCTTCGAAGATCGAGTCGATATCCAGGTCGGTGTGCTGGGCGCCGATGTCGCGGGAGAGGCGTTCGGCGCGGCTGCGGGTCTCTTTGGAGGACTGTCTGGCCATGCCCATGAAGACAGAGGAGAAGAGCTTGGAACAGAGCTCTTGAGGTGACTTTGGTAACCAGCCTTCTGCTTCGCCGGGACCTGCGATGCGCTGGATATCGGCCTTGACTTGAGCGTTACCTGCTTGAAGGGCCTCAAAGGCGACATTACACATGCCGTAGACTAGAACTGCGGTCGAGCAACTGTCGATACCACCAGAAAGCGGGATGAGGTAGCCAGCTTGGTTGGAACGTCTCAAGTAGTCCCACAGGAAACAAGATCCACTCAGGTAGATTTCTTCTTCAGGAGCATGAATCTTGAGTTCTTGAGTCGGGCTGGGTGCCAAGTCGGGGTCAGACTCATCCACGCTCTTGCCAATGTGGAACGGTGTCTCGACACGCTCGTAGGTGGGAGCGTTTAAAGCCTGGATACCTCTTGAAGGTGTACAACGGTAGGACCTGACATCCTCGATGTCGACTGTGGCAACACAGACCTCGACATCGTTGAGACTGAACTGCGATGTTTGCTGAACAATCTCGCCGTTAATGATGATCATTGCACAACCATCGTAGTACAAACGGTCGCCGTCCATACCTTGTTGGTTGGAGTAGAGGTAGACACCACCAGACTTTCGTGTGGCTTCTTGGATCAGACTGATCCTAGTGTTCAGCTTCCTGAGAGAGTGGTGAGAGCCGCTGGAGTTGGTGATGACTTCCACACCGTTCAGAGACATTGCCAGGTGAGGTGACAATGGTGTAAAAAGCTCCTCGCAAGTCTCCATGCCAATGCACGTGTCAGGAGTAGAAAGCACCATGTCTCCGATCGGCACCTTGGTGGAGCCTTGGATCTTCTGAATGAACTGCGGCAGGTAGTACTCCTCGTGATGCTGTGGGCGGTTCCACGGGATGAAGTGCCTCATCTCTCGATAGTTACCATCGTTGGCAAGGTAGAGCTTGGGTCGGATGAATAGGATCTTGCCATCCAGGATGATGACACGGCAGTTGTACCTGTTGTTGCGGTGCATGATTGGCATGCCAATGTCGGCGATGATGCCGTGTATTGACTCATCTTGAAGAATGATGGCCAGCTGTTCCCACGCATGGAGATAGGTATCGCCTTCGAGGAAGTGGTCTAGCAGACCGTAGCCAGTAATCTCAAGTCTGTGGATATGTTACTATTGTCCAGTCAAGTGTGATGCACAACGTACTCAGGTCCCTAGAAGCAGTCAGCAATGAGATCGAAGCGGTCTCCGCCTCTCAACGTACGGTACGGAATCCAGCACCACGCTTCTTCGCGATCTGTATGCTCTCTACAATTCTCTTTCGATTACCCTCCCAGTCAAGCACCCATTGGTTTAGATTACAGCATGCAAACGTCAGGAGTCGACCTGCGCGAAAGACGGGTTAGCAGAACAGTCCGCAGCAACCATGCACCACCGGACATACCCATCATGGATTCCGCAGACAATCACTGACCAGTAGGCATGCAACTCTAAGCTTGGTATGGAAAAGTGGTAGCTGCGGTGGTCGAGCTCTCCGAATGCGATAGGCGGGGTTACGCAGCTGCCCTGTGCGGCATGCGGCAGCGGCTCAAGTGCGCGAAGGATGTCTTGGCAAGTTCGAAGCTGGTGAAACTCAGTCTGAAATGGATCGCCTAACGGCAGCCGTGATCTACAAATTGCAATCTTGTGGAGACGCTCAGGCCCTCAGGGGTTCCTGGCCAGCTTGCGAGGAGTCGGAGGTATCACAGTAGAGTCGCTGAGTACTGTGATCCCACCCAACGGTCCGAATGAGTCTTATCTGTCTGTGACATGCTAGAACTTTTCAGGATCGGGCAACTTGCGACGGAACAGTACCATGGTTCCACGACGCCTGCCTCACGAATTCCGTGCCTTCCGGACGTGAAGGCCGGTCAGACAACGCCCATCTCAGATCGCGCCACGCGTGTACAACCCTCCCGCTACTCTCAGTCTGCCAGTCAAAGCCAGACTCTCAGACTCCCGCCTGGCTGTGATTTGTGCTCCGCCCCGCTGCACTACCGAGTAGCGCAGACCCTGCGTCAAGCAGTCGCTTTCCTTCTCTTCTCACGGCGAGAGCGCAAAAGACCTCTGCGGAGTAAAGTCGCTTTTCTGGCGCGTGGATTATTGGGTGCACAGGACATGGTTGTGCAGTCTGGATGCGACTCGCCACTGCCTAGCCATCCCAAGAATTAGTGGTACACGCGAAGGTACACTGAGATGACGGACCCCAGGCCCCAAGATCCCGTGAGTGCTCGACTCCCGGTCTCTAACACCAAATCGCGGAAGAAGACCATGGAGCACCCGGACCTCGCAAAGGAACGCGAGTTCTACAGGTGAGCCACACACGACGTTCAAGTCAGGGTCTATACTTGCTGACACTCGTGTCTTAGGTACTATCCGCAGCGGACCACCTCCAACGAGATCCTCAGCCGCCGCCCTTCGCCCACGCCCGTCCATGATACACCTACGCCGCCCCGAGGACCGCCCTCAGGCCCTGGGCTGGGTATCGCAGGGGCATTCGACGGCTGCCCCCAGCCCTCGGAAGACAAGGCACTGACTGCATTTGCGCAGCTGGGTGCGCTGCGACTTAATGCACGAAGATGCCTCATCTCCTTCTTCGATCGACGGAACTGTTACATCCTGGCTGAGGCCACACGAACCTTGTCCCTACACACAGGCCAACCCGAGTTCAGCGAGGACAGTCTGGTTTGGGGCAATACTATCTTCCCCAAAGAGAAGAGCATCTGCTATGTCACAGTCAACCTCGCTGCGGGTCAGTCCGGCTTGCCTTTCGATGACTACAGCAAAACGCCTTCCCTGATTGTGAATGACCTGAAGATTGATCGACGCTTCAAGCACTTCCCTTCAGTAGCAGGGATCCCCAGATCTCGTTTCTATGCTGGAGTCCCTATACGCAGCCCAAGCGGGCACAACATTGGCACATATTGCGTCCTAGATGATAGGCCGCGGGACGGCCTTTCTGCGCATCAGTTAGACTTCCTCAAAGACATGGCAGGCACAGTGATGCGACACTTGGAGATGACAAGGGCGACCGAAGACCATCGGAGGGGCAAGATTATGGTTAAGAGCTTGGGATCGTTTGCTGAGGGAAAGAGCGGAACTGAAGATTGGTGGCAGGATCCGTGGGACATGCCGCTGTCTGCAGGACTGTCGGAGACACCTCTGCAGCGACAAAGACCAGCCGCACGATCCAACGCTGACCAGGAGCCGTTCGTTGTTGACCGAAGTAGTAGCGTCATTTCTAGCGTCAAGAGCCCCGCCAGCACAGATGCATCGAGTGTCCGCCCTATGAGCAGTGTTGTTACACCTGCATCTGAGCTGGGACCGGAGCCGCCCAGGGTACCAGAAGTAGCGACCAAAACCTCTTCATCCTCTCAGAACGATCAGAAGAGCAAGATCGCACCGGAGGTTCAGGCAGCCTTTGATAGGGCATCGAACATGATCGTTGACGCGATCGAGGCTGACGGCGTTGCGTTCTTCGATGCTAAAATCAGCACGTTTGGTGGGCTCGTCGAGGACGATCTCTTCTCCGAAGACCTACCTGAGCCAGACAAGCCTTGTGTTCTGCTAGGCTCTGCGCTAAGCAAGAACAACAGGGAGGTGTCGAGTCTCTCTGATATGCAATACTCAATGTCCGAGAGTGTGTTACGACATCTGCTTCGTTCGTACTCACATGGCCAGATCTTCAACTTTGACGACGATGCCACCACTCCAGCTATCAACTCGCCTTCAGGAAACGGGGACGTAGAGGTGATAGATGGCTTTCCGTTCCACATCTCACGCAAGTCAGAATCTACCAGAAGTCAAGACGACGAGAACTTCCTTCGAAGCGTTTTCCCAAGGGCGAAAAGCTTGGTGCTCTACCCATTGTGGGACTCGCATCGCGATCGGTGGTTCGCCAGCGCCGTGATCTGGAGCTCTGACCCCATGCGCGTTTTTACCAGCGAGCAGGAGCTCAGCTTCCTTGCTGCATTTAGCAACTCAGTCATGGCTGAGGTCGCACGGCTAGACACTAAGCTAGCGGACGCTGCAAAGGCTGACTTTATCTCGTCCATCAGTCACGAGCTACGATCACCTCTGCATGGCATACTGGGCATGACGGACTTGCTAAAAGACACTGCGATCGACGGACAGCAGACAAACCATGTGCAGACCATCGAGACTTGCGGCAAAACCCTTCTGGAGACCATCAACCATGTGCTTGACTTTGCCAAGATCAACAATCTTACGCGAGGAAAATCGAAGAAATCAAAGAAGCGTACGCAAAGCGCCAAGCATGTCATCAGCCCTGGACAAAGTCACACGAATGATATTATGACGCTGATCAACGACGTGGACATGAGTGTCCTCGCAGAAGACGTTGTAGAGAGTGTGTTCGCTGGTCATGTCTACCAGAAGGTTTCTGCCCAAACATATGAGCTCACCTCCTGTAAGAAGGAGGTTCTCCCACTGAGTCTCATTCTCGACATCAATGAGAGCGCAAACTACGTCTTCCGTACACAACCCGGCGCATGGAGACGAGTCGTCATGAACCTTTTCGGTAATGCCCTGAAATACACGGAAGCGGGATACATCAAGGTCAAGCTCCAAGTAATGCCAAGGTCAAGCCCCACGGAAGAGTACCGCGAGTTCCGCTTCACAGTAACCGACAGTGGTGTCGGCATGTCGGAAGACTACATCAACAACAGGCTTTTCCATTCGTTTGCACAGGAGAACCCTCTGAGCCAAGGAACTGGTCTTGGTCTCAGCATTGTGAAGCAGATCGTTGAATCCCTTGGAGGTGAGATAGAAGTCACTAGCGCGAAGGGTCGTGGAACCAAGTTCATGGTATCCTGCCCTCTCAAGGAGTCGATCATGTCACCATCATTCTGTCCCACGGAACCTGAGCAGCAAAAAGAGAAGCATTTGCGGGAGGTCGGTAAGCGCACAAAGGGTATGAAGGTCTGCTTCAAGGGATTTGATGAAGAGGAAGAATACTTCGTTAGGAGCCTGAAGGGAAAGAACGCCACATATTTGTCAAAGAAGGCAATCGACAGCCTATGCGCTGACTGGTTTGGGATGAAGACGTGTGCGAGCGGCCCTTGTGCCGCAGAGCCAGATCTCATCGTTGCAACCGAGTTGGTCGCAAAGGCATTACGTGCTCGGCACAGCCAAGGGGTCAATCAAGCCAATCACCCACCAGTCATCGTTGTCTGTAACGGTGCTGCGTCCGCACAGTCTGTCACCGCCATTACAGTACCAGGCGTCATTTTTGAGTGCATCGGCCAGCCAGTTGGACCTCACAAAATGGCGAAGGCTTTGACCTCCTGCCTGGACCGCCACGCAAATCAGCTAAGTGGCCAAATCGACGGCACCGAGGCGACGCTACAGAAGGTGACACAGCTGAGCCTGAAAGATAACACCCCACCACATAGCCCAGATATGTTCTCGCGCCTTCTTGACATAGCTCGACCGGCTCTCACTTCAACGATTAGCGCTCCTGAGGTGCGTTCGGTCAGCACGAGCCCGGTCAAGAAGTCGGCATACTCCACACCAACAAGATCGCTGAATTGTCTGGCTGTCGACGACAACCCTATCAACCTTCGACTTCTTCGCACGTTCGTCGACAAATTAGGCCACCGCCATGTTCTTGCGGTCAACGGCCTTGAAGCTCTCGATACATACAAGTCCGCCCAAGACCAATCGTTGATCAACGGTTCAGCTCAAGCACATACGGCATCCGCCAAGGCTGCTGTCGCAGATATGTCTGCCCGCATCGACGTTATCCTGATGGACATTAACATGCCGGAGATGGACGGCCTCGAAGCAACGCGTCAGATTCGTGCTCATGAGATCAGAACTGGACTGCCGCCTGTCACCATCATCGCACTCACAGGTGTAGCCAGTACTGAGACCCAGCAAGAGGCAAACTCCAGCGGCGTCAACTTATTCTTGATCAAGCCGGTACGACTCGCGGATCTAGAGGTGGTGCTGAAGGGTGTCATCACGGGACAGGAGAAGGCTGAGTGTGAGGAGAAAGAAAAAGAGAAAGAGAATCAGGGCCTGGTGCAGTCGCACTCGCGATCGCAATCGTTGCAGCAGCAGTCGCAGATGAAGACGCAGGGGTCGCAGGGGTCGCAGATGCCGCCGCCGCAGATTCAGTCGCCGCCGAAAGAGGTAGCACCTGAGGCACAGCTGCCGAAGATACAAGCCGCAACACAGACAGCGCCCAAGGCACAGCAGGGTGGCGTCAAGGTGGATGAAAAACAGGTAGGGCCCAGCGTCACAGTGAAAGAGGTCAAATGACTCGCCGTATTGGCACTCGGTGTTGCAGTTTTCGGTATTTTGGCGCGAAAGATCCGGTGAATGACAGGCGTTATACCCATTTCTTTAGGATGGATGACATGGCGTAGCATTGTATGGCGTTAGCAAGGGCAGACGTCGGCTTTCAGGCCGCCTGTATAAGCAGCTCGAGCTAAGTTTTATGAATAGATAAGTGCGTACCTTTTGTAACATGGGTCAACAAGTTCTAGTTAGATGCAGGCAACTACTTATTGTTCTAAACTCTATGTGTGGAACGAAACGACATTGGTATGCAAGCGCTCTTGAAGCGATGTGATGCTTGTGCGTGTGGCCTCGGCTTTGCTCGACATGAGAGAACGATGCTGCACACTGGCATACGGTATGTGTTTACAGATTGTTGCATAACTAGCTGAGCTGATCTCTGGGTGCACTACCGGCTGTCACCCGTGTCTGACTAGACAAGTGCAGCACAGCAGTGTCGCGTGCTGAAACCGGAAAGAAAATTACGATGGCTACTGAAGCGAAGTGAGCTACAGATGCCGTGCCATCAACGCTGGAACGCCCAAAGTATTCTGAGGGTCTGATAGTCAAGCCTCAAACTGTCTGATATGTATATTGTTGATGTGTATTCATATCTACTTCTTCCGTCTCAAATTTTCGAAGCTCGAGTCCTGCTTCCATCTTGGTCCCGTGGAGAAACGTGAGGCGTTTGATCGGTGCGGGCACATTGCCTGCCGTACCATCATCCTCTGCAAATACCCCGTGACCATGCAGGATCGTCTGGTCGACGCTGTATTCGGAGAAATCGAGTCTCTTGCGATTTGGGGTTTCGGGGTCGATGCGCTTAGGAACAGGACGCCATTGGATTATTTCGTATCGGCATGAAGCGAAATCATAGACTGAATAGGTGTTATGGTTGAAATCAAGGACTCAAGGAGACAAGAGGCTGCGAAGATGAAAAGGCGGGATGTCAGCTTGGTACGCTTCGTTTCGGCCCAAGCTCCTCAGGCTACCTAAAACACGATAGGGACGATAAGCAATGCACAACCCGAGAACGGGCGCAAATGCACTCGCATACTTTGACCAGTCTGGTCGTGGCTGGATCGACGTCGATCCTGCTTACCTCGGGGAGTACTTTAACGTGTTCTATCAGTAAGCTGCGCATATCAGTATCCTGCGCACCCCACCAAAACGCGCTCAACGCGTCTTATCTCATCAACTATGACACCACATCAACTACCCGTACAAAGTTCAAAAGAAGGCAGGTTAAGCCTTGCTATTGCTTCTTTTCAAAATAATCCTTATCAATCTAAACGTTGCCTTGCTGCAGCCTACGATGTTCCAGAATCAACACTGCGGACGCGTCTTAAGGGTATCTGTCCTAAACACGAGACAACATCAGTCAACCAAAAGCT